TTGTGTGTTGTTCATAGTTTCTTTGTTCCACTTAATTTTCTGTGCTGAGTCATATTCCTTTATGTATTTTCTTTTCATCTTTTTCATTGTTATTGATTCTGTGTTTGCTGAGTCTTTATATTTTTCTAGTTTTTTACTTTGACTTGTAGGATTATTTGTTTCCTTTGTGGTTGCCTAAATATTTACCCCTATATTTCTAAGTTTATACCAGTCTTTTATGTTTTTTTATATCACCTTGACTTCCTCTCCATATGAAAAATCTACATCTACATTTTTTAAGTCCCTCTTTTTTGTTTTAATGTTGTCATCTTTTACATATTGACATCTCTGTTTCCCTGTTTTCCCTATTTTCCTATTTTCAGCTTTGATTTCCTTTTGTGACTTCCCTATCTGGGCAGATATCTGGTTGCTCTGTCCTGTGTTCTAGTCTTGGGTTGTTATCTGATGTTACTGATTTTCTAACTGGAGGACTCCCTTTAGTATTTCTTGTACTTTTGGTTTGGTTTTTGCAAATTCCCTAAACTTCTGTTTATCTGGAGATGCCCTAATTTTGCCATCATATTTGAGAAACAGTTTTGCTGGATATATAATTCTTGGTCGGCAGTTTTTTTCCTTCAAGGTTTTATATATGTCATCCCATTGCCTTCTTGCCTTCATGGTTTCTGCTGAGTAGTCTGAGCTTATTCTTATTGACTTTCCTTTGTAGATGACTTTTCATTTATCTCTAGCTGCTCTTAAAATTCTCTCTTTATCTTTAGTTTTGGCAAGTTTGATTATAATATATCTTGGTGACTTTCTTTTGGGATCTACTTTATGTGGGGTTCGATGAACATCTTGGATAGATATCTTCTCATTTTTAACAATATCAGGGAGGTTTTCTCCCAACAAATCTTCAACAATTCTCTCTGTATTTTCTGTTATCCCCCCATTCTGGTACTCCAGTCACTTGTAGGTTATTCCTCTTAATAGAGTTCCAATAATTCTTAGGTTTTCTTCGTTTTGTAAAATCCTTTTATCTGATTTTTCCTCATATAAGTTGGTGTCAAGTGCTTTATTTTCAAGCTCACAAATTCTGACTTGCATTGCCTCAATTCTGCTCCTGTGACTTTCTACTGAGTTGTCTAATTCTGAAATTCTATTGTAAATCTTCTGGATTTCTGATTGCTGTCTCTCTGTGGATTCTTGCAGCCCATTAAATTTGTCATTATGCTCTTCTCTGATCTTTTTAATTTCCTCTATTACGTGTTCCGCCTTTTGCTTAATTTCCTTCCTAATTTCTTGAAGAGTTCTGTATATTAATCTTTTGTATTCTGCCTCTGGTAATTCCAAGAAATTTTCTTCCTCTGGAAAATTTCTAGATTCTTTATTTTGGGAGCTTGCTGAAGCCATCATGGATTGCCTCTTTATGTGATTTAATATTGACTGTTGTCTCTGAGCCATCAATAAGGTATTATATTTATTTATTTTATGTTTTCTGACTGTGTCCTAGCTTCTTGTTTTGTTTCGATATGTGCAGATAGGCTGCTCATATGAGCTTGTTTGATTATTGGCACCTTTGAAGCTCTAATGTCCTGTCACCAGGTGGTTAGATCTGTTACTAGGTATGTGAGCTGAGGAGTCCGCCCACCCCTCCTGTATGGATTCAGCTCAGGTGCCCAGGTATATAGCCACCAAGTGTGTGATGTAGGCTCTCACTTACAGTCCTAGACAGGCATGGGTGATTGGTGTAGGCACAGGCATCTGGATGCAGCAGGGGGACACACTCTGAGCAAGGCAGGGTGTTGACGGCTGCCCCTGAGTGTTCAGGAGAAGGCGTGTCCCTGTTCCCTAGAGCGCATAGGTGGGTGGGTTTTGCAGCCAGACTATAAGCACCTAATGCTGTTGGCTGTAAGGACTAGGGGGCACCTCGTATTCCTGGGCCCCTTTAGCAGGTGGCAGGTGGCATGGGTGGAGCCACCAGTCCTCAGGCCGCTGATGTGGGTTGGTGAAGACCCTGCTTAATGGGCAGAGCAGTGGCAAATGTCAAGAACCTGCCACTTCACAGCTGAAACAGCTGAAGTTAGAGTTCTGGTATATACCCTGTTGTACTGTGGTAATGAGGGCCTACGCTGTTGAGATGGGCCCACACAAGTCTGTGCAGGGGGAAAGGCGCTCAAAGTCCATGGATCCCTTATGCCTGTGGCCAGGCAAAGGAGCTGTGCCCACCCTCGGTTCCTGGCTTCGGGGAGCTGGCAGTTTATTTTTTCCTGTTTGTTAATTTGTTCACTCTCCAAGGCAGGGAGAATGGCTCCGGGTGTGTGACAGATCCTACTTCTGGCCCAGGGGACTTGGCAATTGCTGGTCTGGGAGCCAGTGCAGAGCAGGGAGCAGGGAGGTAAATGGGAGAGAGGTTTTTCCCTAAGGTGGATGTTTTTGATCTGCGCAGTAGGCCATACGCAATTACTTATCTTTCACCGATGAGGGCTGCTTCTCACTGGTTCTGGGTGGCCGCGTAGACTCTCTGGCTCTGGGGCTCTCCCGGTGTGGACAACGCACCTCCCAAGGACTGCTGCTTGCCTGCCTCACCGCTCACCCATGAGATGCTCAGGCCTGAAGGGCTCAGGCTCTCGCCGGTCAGGTCTGGCAACTCCTTGCTGCTTCTGAAAAATCTCTGCCTCCCTCTGCCACTCAGTCTGGTTCCTCAACTCTGCCTTTGATGTTCAGGGCTCCCAGATTGCCATATATAATTGAATCACTTGTTTTTTCGGGTCTCTGTTGTAAGAGGGTCCACTGGAAGCGTCTGACTATACTCCACCATCTTGGCCCTGCCTCCCGGTATTTTTTTTGTGTGTGTGTGGCATATGGATATCAAATTGTGCTAATATCATTTGTTGAAAAGATTATCCTTTCTGCATTGAACATCATTTGCATCTTTCTTTATATCTACAAAAAAAAATCCTTCTAGAGTTTTTAATTGGGATTGCTTAAGTCTACAGACCAATTTGGGGAGAATTGACATCTTAGTGGTATTGAATCTTTCAAACTATGAACGTGATATGTCTCTTCATTCACTTAGGCCTTGATTTGATTTCTTTCATGAACCTTTTGTAATTTTCAGCATACAGACCCTACACATTTTGTTATATTTATATCTAAACATTTAATTTGGGGCACTATTGTAATACTATTTTTTAATTTCAGTTTCCAGTTATTCATTGCTATTGTATAGAAATGCAGTAGATTTTTGTATATAATCCTTATATCCTGCAACCTTGCTAAACTCACAGCTAGCTTCTCTGATCATAGAAAAGGGTTCCCTTCCCTCAGTTTTAGGCACAGGTGCAGCAGCCTCTGCCATCCCTGTGCTGTTGTCTCACTGGCTGCCATAGCATTGCCTGGTGCCTGGGAAAGGAGAGTAGGGGACAAAACCCCAAGGATTTCCTCCCCTCTCTCTCTGACCCTTAGGAGTCCCCTTCCCTGCTCCTTGGGCTAGAAAGAAAGGGCTTTTCTTGGAGCTCTTTCTGTCCTCACCTGGTATACACTTCTGTGTTTTAGGCTGTCTTTAAATTCGACCCAGGCAACAGTGAAGGGGGAAAATGGTAAACGCACCGCTGGTTTGGTGGTACTCCGAATTCTGGTCTCGTTCCTTAGTCTTCTTTCTACCGTTTATTTCCAGAGTCCTCAGATAGCTGCTCCGTGTATTCTTTCCAGGGATTATAATTGTGTCCAGTGGGATAGACAGGGTCATGTGTATGTTACTCCATCTCCCCCAGAACCAGAGCCCTATTATGTTTTAAGACTGTACTTGATATCCTAAACAGCTCTGAAAGGTAGTTATCATACCCATTTCACAAATGTGGAGATAGACACAGATAGTTAAGTAGTTCTTCCCAAATCATAGACGTATTAAATGGTAGAGAAAAAAATTCTAAGCCAGAATTGTCTTGTTTCTTGAAGTGTCTTGTTTCAAAGTTCATGAAGTTTTTACTTTTAAGTGCTCCCCGTAATATGCTCCTTTTTTTCTCTACTTAGTTATTGAGGCATAAAATGAAAATTAGAATAGAACTATTGATTATAAATTTTTTTAACCAATGCCATTTAAACGATTTCTTGTACTAATTTTTGCAGGATTTGAAGCTCCTAGTAGTCATTCAAATCTAATTAATTTCATTCAACAAATATTTACTGTGTACTAGCTATCCATCATGCTGTGTGGGATTCAGAGTTAATTCAGAGATAGAGAGCCTATCCTTCTATCCTTAAGATGCTTCTGGGCTAACCAGGGAGAATTACAAATGCAAATAATAAGTATAATACAATAGTGATGAAAGAGTAACAAAAATAAAGTGCAATGGGAGTTTGAGGAAGAAGAGATTACTTGTTAGTAGGAACATAAAAAGACATATTTCCACCTGTAAAATTTTTTTTTTAAGTATCGAAAAATATTTATGTTTACACATGAGACAGTGCCACAAGAGTTTTCCTTATAAGAATGCCGTCCCCTAAAATGATACTTGTGAAGAGTGTGCTTCTTAGCTCAAGTAGATACATGAGACTAAATGGGCAGCTCCTGTCTGGAGGTGAGATGGGAAGGCAGAGAGGGTTAGGAGCTGGTTGAATGGACATGGGAAATCAGGGGTGGAAAGGAGGAATGTGCTGTCACAGTATAGGGAGAGCAATTAGGGTCACATAACAATATATGTATAAATTTTTGTATGAGAGACTAACTTGAATTGTAACCTTTCACTTAAACTACAAAAAAAAAGAATGCTGTCCCCAACTAAATTCTTAAACTGTTGGGAACAGCTAGGTTTTATTGACTATGTCTGTTTGCTTCCCTGTATCCCCCATAAACAGCTTTTTTCCTCTCAGATAAAAGTCAAAAAACCTAAAATGTTCACAAGTGGTTTATTGGTAACCAAAGTTTAAGGACTTAAAAAATGATCTATCATTAATTATATTTATGTCACATTTAGAATTTTAAGTTAAAAGTATATCCTATATTTTTCTGTCTTCAATAGAAAAGAAACATTTGTTTGCATAGGAATTCACGAAGGTGACCCCACCTGGAAAAAGAACTATTCACTTTGGCCCTGGGGCTCTTGTGACAAATTGGTGCCTTCAGAGATTGTATTCAACCCTGACAAATGGATTAAACTTACAAGAAATATCTATAACTGGACTGAAGAATATGGACGGTATGAATATCAGTTGTATTTTTAATTGGAGGATAGTAGTTTTGTGTGCCTAAAAAAAGTAACTAGATTTTGAGATGCCTTTTCATTTTGTTTTGTTTTTTATTAATTGCTAATATTGTTATTTGCTGCCCACAAAGTATCATAAAGTAAATAAGCTGATGCAGGAGCCATAGCATCTACTTCTGGGCAGTCATTTTTTAACTATCCTGGTTTTTCCCTGCTGGTAAAGCTCAGAGTATTTTGGCAGCTTTTACCATGTGTACAAACTAGCCATTGTAACAGCTTTACTCTCACAAGGCCCAGTGGTGGTTTGGTAGTCCCTGGTGGCCTCAGGAAGTAGCTCATCCAGCTACTGGCTGTGACTGAAGTAGTCATAAAAATGATATGGAAAGAGAACATGTCTCTCTTGTCCCTCTGTTTGAAGGACAACGGCAGATGGAAGGGAAAGGGAGGCTGTGGTTGAATGGGCATCATAATCATTAGATGCCATGGTATCTTCCACTTCAAACTCTTCCATGTGATATTGGCCTCCATCCTACATCTCATTACCCAAAAAGTGGAAGCAATTCATTAACTGCAATTGGCTCTAAAAGGCACTCTGTTGCCCATGGTAGTTTCCACCTGCATACGTTTGTCATTTTCCTTTCTTCATATATGGCAGATAGCTTCTCTGTAGGAGTAACTTTGTCTTCATAGTTGTTTGGCCTCAACCCAGTTATATTGCTTTGAACATTTTTGGTCTTCTTTTAAGCATTTCTACATAGTGTTTACTCTCTCCCATATGAAAGATGAGTTACCATCTAAAGAAAAGTGCTTCCATTGCCTATTTTTAAAATTATGAATTATTTAAAGATTATATAAGTAATGGCTTATAATTCAAGAACAACAGATAAGATCATGTGAAAAAGTGCTACAAAGGTTTTGTGATTCAATATTAGCTAACAGAGCATATTGTTGTATAACAGCCAGAGACGAATAGTGAGGTCTAAATCAAAGCACTTTGTGACCATCAGGAGGAAAAGTTAGAAAATAGCATTCTTTAACAGCTGAAGATAGTACAAGTATACATCATCATCATCACTCATTGTCTTCATTCTGTTACAACAAATATATAATAAGACAAAGTTTAATTATGAGAAAGAAACATCAGCAAAAGTTTTGGCCAGTGTTCTTCCAGCAGCATCGTAGCTCCAGTAATGATTGATTGAGCCAGACAGCCCCTCTCTTCAGGTTCATCCCCTTAGTTCACAGCTCTTTGGCTCTTAGCTGTGCCCGTAGGATGACTCACGTCTGCCCTTCTAATGGTTTCTAGGAGCAGTAGTCTTCCCAGAGGCCACCAGCCTATTCCCATAAAGCCTTCATTTTCTCCCATGAGACACTGGGGCTCATTATACAGATTAAGAACACATTTACCAGAACCCAAAATCACTAACATGATTGAGGTCCCTATTAGTATTCAAGATCCTGCCTATTGTATTGGCCTTGTAATTATAAAACAGAGGTTACATATCCATAAGAATAAATGTAGTTAACAGAAAAAAATGATTATTTTCTCACAACTACAGGTTCGATCCATCTTCTTGGGAATCTGTGGCCAATGAGGAGATGTGGCAAGCAAGGTGACTATTCCACATTTTTGTGTTTTCAGTCTATTTTTTGATATTTCAGAGAAGTAGCCTTGGCAGTTTTCATTTTGGGAGTAGAGGTGAGTGATGTTAATAAAAATAACATTTATTGAGCAATTATTTTGTTTGAGATGTTGTATTAGTCATTATACATGAATAATATTATTTCATACTCACAACAACCTATGAAGAAGTTGTTATTATCCTCATTTTCTAGAAGAACAAACTGGAGCTTAGAGAGGTTATATAACTTTTCCAAAGGCACACTGCTACTAGTGATAGAATCCAAAACTCAAGTGTGTCTGATTCTGGAAGACTCTTAATCTTGTCTGTACTACCTCATCTAAACCGAAGTGTATATAACTGGTTGAGTAAAAGTTGATAAGCACAATCCTGCCTTCATTTTTAATGTGCCAGTTCATTATTTAAGCATTTCTTAATACCTTCTAGAGGCCAGACACTGTGCTAGGCATTGAAGGTACACATATGAATATGATCCAGTCCCTACCCTCAACAAGCTCATAGTCTAATGGAGCAGACAAACATGTTAAAGAGATTTTAATATTAAGGTGACAGACGCTGTACTTTCCTGCTGTTTAGAAAGAGAGATCATACTGTCCATACACTATGAAGTGTCTGGAACACTTCATAGTGATGGTACTGATTCTCTTGGTTAAAATCCTGTCATTATTTTAAAATAGTCAAAATAACTAACAAACTTTGACCTAAATATTAATGTGAAATATCAATGTAGGTGATATAGACAGGGCACCATATATATATAGAGTGCTTCCTTCAGCAGAAATGTATTGATGCCCACTCTGTGCCAGGGACAGTGATTTGCACTAAGAATTAAGTTACAATATAAAGGGCTTAAGGAGCCTGGGTGGAGCAAGTGGTTTGCGATGGGCTACTAACCTAAAGGTTGTAGTTTGAACCCACCTACCAGCTCTACAGAAGAAAGGCCTGGCAAACTGTTTCCATAAAGATTACAACCAAGAAAAACCCATGGAGCAGCTCTGTAACACATGGGGTTACCATGAGTCAGGGGGCCAACTCAGTGGCAGCTAACAACAACATAAAGAGCTTAAATAAGTTTTTTAAAAATTGTCAAGAAATACAACTCCAAAATAATGATTTCAAAAATATTTACAACACAAATATTTATATATATAATAAAACACATAGGGGTTACAGGCACAGATACCTCCCAGACATCTTGCAGGATTAGTTTACTAGCTTTGAAGGCTTAGGATCATAGGACAATTCAGTCAATGGCGCAACATAGTCTATAAAGTTTAGGTTCTACATCCTAATTTGGTAGGTAGCGTCTGGGGCCTTAAAAGCTTGTGAGCAGCTATCTAAGATAGAACTATTGGTCTGTACTCGTCTAGAGGAAAAGAGAAAGAAGGGAACCAAAGACTCAAAGAAGAAACTAGTCTATAGGACTAATTGCCTACACAAACCATGGCCTCATCTATCCAGACACCAGAAGAACTAGATGGTGCCCATCTACCACTACCAACTGTTCTGACCAGGGATACAATAGATGGTCCTGGATAGAATGAAGAAAACTGTAGACCACAACTCTAATTCTTAAAAAAAAAAGGCCAGACTTAACTGGACCAATAGAGACTAGAGAAACCCCTGAGGCTATTACCCTGAGATACCCTTTAAACTTTAAACTGAAACTACTCCCAGAGGTTACCTTTCAGCTAAATAACAGATTGGCTTAAAATAATATCACCCAGTGCTCCTTTTAAAATAATAATAATAATCTATATGAGACCAAATGGTCAACATTAACCCTAAAGCAAAGATGAGAAGGTTGGGGGGTGAGGGGTGGGGCAAGGAAGCTAGATTAATAGAAGCAGAACAACCAGAATGGAAATGATGAGAATGTTGACACAATGTGGAAAATGTAATCAATGTCACTGAACAGTATGTGTAGAAATTGTTAAATGGGAACATAATTTGCTGTATAAACTTTTACTAAAAACTCAATGAAATATTAAAAAAAAAAAGAGCCAGAGAACTCAGCTGGTTTTAGCAAGTAACTGCTAAAGCTACTGATGTTAGGTACTTTTGGGAAAAATATTACTTACATGTTATGGTCCATTACATAATGAAACTATAAATAAAATTTTCTTGTTCTAGACAGTTACTTGGTTAAGATTTCGATAATACATTAAAACATTTCCAGAAATTTAAAAAAAAAAAAAAACTAGATATACTATAATTTATGCAGTGGTGATTTTCAAAGTCAGAAAACAGCATATTTTGAGTAACAGTCTATTTATATGGAACAAATACTTGCTTTGAAAAACTGATCAAAAATATACCGTTACGTTTGCACAGTTCTTCACAGTGAACATGGGAAAGCTGGGGAGAAGATCACATAAAATAAGAAAGCAGGTCATTATTTGGCCAGGTATTTCTTTAATTGGTGTGCTGAGCACAATCGGGACGTGTTCATGTGGTCAAAGAGTCTGGCCACCTTTGAAGAACTGGTCACATGTTCCCTGAGCAGTCATGATGGGAACCTTCAGGGATGTGCAGATGAACCCAGCGAGTCTCCCCTTCGCAGCTGCTCTGCAGAACAATAATGCACATCTGGAGGAAGAACCATGTACAACAGTGATGATGAATGTGAGGTTTTTCCTAAAAGGTCTGGTAATCGGTGTGAATGCAGCTCATGGCAGTAGGGGCAAAGGAGAGCTGCTATTGATTCAGAGTAACTTCCACCAATATGAGATAATTAAAAATAATATAATAAAGGACTTTGTACATTCCTTATCAATGGAAAAGTCTGGCACATTTATCTTTGAATGTGAAACTGACAGCATGATTTTAACGAAGGTTCTCACCTCCCACCCCCAGGATGAAAACAGCGTTCTTCATCTTTAACCTGGCAGAAACTGCTAATGTGCCTTCAAATGTGAAAACTCAACTCTACACTCATGCGTATAACGTATGTCATAAATTTACATATTGAAAAGTATTTGGCAGGAGTGCCGTGGGATGGTTTGGGATAAAGAAAAGGTGTATCACAGAAGTTTTTATTCTTTTGTTTTCAGCTTAATTTGGGCATTATAAGGCAGTATATGTGGAAAAATACCCATGTATCATAAGTGCTCTCTAAATTAAATGGCTGTAATAGGCAGAATAATACCCCACCCCTAAAGATATCCACATCCTAATTCCTAGAACCTGTAAATATATTACCTTACACGGCACAGGGGACTTTGCAAATGTGATTAAGTAAAGGATCTTAGATAGGAAGATTACTCCTGATTATGAAGGTACACCCAATGTAATCACAAGGGCCCTTATAAAAGGGAGGCAGGGGGGTTAGAGTTATTAGAGAAGGAAATGTGGCAATGTGAGCAGAGATCAGAGAGAGATTTGAAGATGCTATGCTGCTGGCCTTGAAGATGGAGGAAGAGGACAAGAGCCAAGAAGGCAGGCAGCCTCTAGAAGCTGTAAAAGGCAAGGAAATGGATTCTCCCCTAGAGCCTCTAGAAGGAACACAGTCCTGCTGCCACCTCGATTGTAGGACTTCTGACCTCTAGAACCATAAGATAACAAATCTGTGTTATTTTGAGCCACTAAGTTTATAGCAATTTGTTACAACAGCAATAGGAAACTAATACAATGACTTTCTAAAAACCAAGTCCCGATGGGCTACTGTCTCATACAAAAGCCATGGGCCTGGCTGCACTTTAAATGATGGTCAGTGGCTGGTTGAGATTTCAAGATGAAAAATCAAGGGTCATGGAGAGTGGCTCTGTTTTCTAACTAGGGCCCTAGGAAGCGGGATAGACCTTCAGAAGGCAGTCACACCTTCATGAGGCTCTTACACAAATCTATCGTCTCTGATGAGATATGGGTGCACAGAGGACACTATTTTAGCAAGTACCTGCTTTTCTGTGATTTATAGCACTGGGCTCTTCAGACACCTTCTGAGATAGTCTGGGAGCCTGCTCTGTAGGAAGCAAACATCCTGGCAAGGAGTAATGAAAAGAGACCAGGTATTTCCGCTGTCTCTAGACCACTGTGGATCTACTCAGGCAGGACTTTGGTGCTAAGTCAAAATAGCAAGTTATCCAATTAGTATGACTGATTTTCCTCCTCGCTTTTGTGATCATTGGTTCATTGCTTATTCATTTATTTATTCACAGAGCATTTACTGGGCACCCACTCATACCAAATATGGTATTGGAGATGATCAAGCATTGTTCCTGCTCTCAAAGAGAGAGCAGGCTAATGGAGGAGAAAGAGGATAAAATCCTCAGTTACAGTTCAGTGGTATAAGTGTTGTGAGAGGTCTATACTTCTATTTTGGACACAGAGAGCCGTACATAAGTCAGAGCAAGCTGGAGAGGAGAGTGGTGAGGAAGGGAGGAGAGGGCTCCAGAGAAGATATCACTTGAGTGTCATCTTGAAATATCAGAAGAAGTTAGATGGTGGGGCAAGCGAGGGAGAGGGGAGGAGAGGGTAGTCCATATGGAGGGAGCCCCAGGGACAAAGGCAGAGCCCTCCAGGGTGCCCCATGGAGGACTATAAGGCACTAAATTACAGAGGACAGCATGCTGGAGCTCTGGCTGGCAGGCAGGACATCCAGGCACTAGTCCTGCCCTGCCACTCCTTGTCAACTGTGAGTGAGTCTCTTAACCTTTCCTGGCCTCAATTTTGTCTTAAAAAACTGTGGGCTTTAACCTTTACAGATTATCTCTCATATCCTGGTCATCTCACATCCTGTTCATCCCTAATGCCCTGTGATTCTGTGAAAGATGAGAAGTGTTTAGCTGGGAGAGATCTGAGACTTAAACTGATATTTAATATTCTCTCCAGTGTCCTAGGTCCATAGTTGTTAGGCCACTACTGATGCTAATTCGTGGATTTATTGTCTCTTTGGGCCAGTTAGCTTTTTTCAGTGAACATAGACTATTGGTATCTCCTTCACATCTGTCCCTAGATGTGGGACATTATGTATAAGACAAAGGAGGCCAAATACATGATGGGTCAACCCAAACCCGCCCCTAATACTGGTTTTTCAAGAGCATTCTTGTTAGGTGTAAAGGATATTTTTGTAATTATTTACATTATCCCACTCAATAGCTTATAAAGGACATTAAGCTTAGTTGACATCACACTGTAGTGGAGGACCACAGAGTTGCCAATTCCTTAGAAATAAATTTGATAAGATGAAGATGTCCCCAATAAAGAGAACACAGTCCACTAAGACTAACAGCAAGCAACACACACATAGAGGAGAAAATGTATTCCACATGATGGGAAATGACTTGCTTCTTAAGATTTGGTGCATGTGGCTCAATGGGTCATCAGAAATAAGTGGATTACGCATCAGTAACAGTGCTGTAGAAGAAAGCAATGTGGTTTTGACTCAAGCAGGACGGCTATAGGTGAGCCTCTCATTCTCCTGGGCAGTTGGAAATGGTCATCGATGTGCTGGCAGTAGCTGGGGACTCCAAGGCCTGAGGAGGGTTTTGAAAACTTTGGGAAAGCAAATAAACTGAACAGTTCCTGCATGCCTAGTGTGTTGGGCGGCAAGCCAGGCACTTGACACACGTTCTTCGTTGAAGGGAGGCTCAGAAAGAGAAGCAATGGTTAGAGCAAAAAGGACTCTGAGGAAAGGATAAACTGTGAATATTTTGTGAAGAAAATTAAAAGGTAGGAGGCTGACTTTATAGCTTTGATGTATGTGAAAATGGGGGTGGCTCTTTCCTGTTTTATAAAATGAAGGGAACTAAGAGAAAAATTGCCTTAAAAGGCGGCTTGAAGAACTAGGACTATAGCATATCAAAATGACATATCAGATGTAGATTGTGGAATTTTTCAAGGGAAAGCTGGGTAAAAATAGGTTAGGTATGCCTTTGTCTGTCTGTTCGGAAAATAGATAATCTAATTGGCTTCCTTTCAACTGAATTATTTTATGAATACAGTTCTAATTCAAAAAGCACTTGTCCCTGGATAAAGCATTCTTGCTTGGCAAACTCAAGTTCCTGGAAATGCGATTCCAATCTGACAATCCCTAAGAAGGCTGTGAAATTCCCAATAAGCAAGTGTAGTATTCCATTTTGCAGATTTGGTTCTGCTTTTTTTTGTTTGTTTGTTAAATTTTGATGATTTTTTTTTCCTCTGGATAATTCAATATCAAAAATTCTTTGTCCAATTAATACTGTCACTGATGTTAAAAAACAAAATTCTGAATTCCTGTGGGCAAAGTAAATAACCATCAACATTGTAGTGATAGGATCCTGTCAAGGTTTTAAATATCTTGCTTTAAGCAAGTCTCTCACATTTTATTTTTATGCTCAGCCTACTTGGTAATGGATTGGTTTGGGTTGTTTTGTTGTTGTTATATTGTTGTTGTTTTTAATGTGGAGAGAAATGTATGTAGATCATGTGGCACAAAATTTAAATACCTTCAAGTCCTTTTTTGGTTCAGTCTTCTAAAGAAAGCTTTTTTTTTTTTTCCTCTCCAATAGCTGAATTTAGACTTTTCAACATTTCTGCCTGTTGAGTAAATCGCTTTCCATGAATTAGAACTAAATCGCTTTTCCAGAACATCTTTCTGGAGGAAGAGCATTTTATCCCGACACACTGTGTCTTAGGTTCCCCCAGCAGCATCCGGAAAAACCCAGAAGCAGTTTTAGATGAAGCATATTTGCCTCCTACTACTGTAATAATTATAGTAACATCCTTGAATTTTCTGCATGGCCTAGCAACAATTAGATTTTTATTGCAAGCTGCTTGGATTTTTTTTGTCCTTGTGTTATTAATTCCTTTGTGTTTTCTGTTTTTGAAAAACGTCAAGGAATAACAATGGGATACCAACATTTTGCTTTTTTCTAGCTTTATAAGGAGATTGTCTATTTACAAAAGGAACACCCTGTGAATTGGCACAAGAACTATGCCATCGCCTGTGAACGGATGCTTGGTCTTCGGGAAAGGGACACAGACCCTGAAGTCCTCCTATCTGAGACCATCAGACATTTCCATCTCTACACTCAGAAAGCACGGAATGACCCCCAGCTGGCTGATATTTTAGTTGCTCTAAAGCACCTAAGGAAAGAACTGCGAAGTCTGAGAAATATGAAAAATGTTTGAGACAGCAAAATGTGAAAAACCTGCTTGTCATTCAGCTTCCAGAATTCTGAAGTCCAAAAGTTTTTCCTCCGAGAGAAGAAACTGTATAAAAATTGAAAACTAAATCATTGCCCAGCTATAAGTAATGTGGGACACCAGTACTGTTTAATGAAGTGTTTAGTGACTGAGATGTGCTATTTATACAAAATTCCCTTCATCCCATGTTACCAAATTAGCATTTTGGTGAGGATCTTTTGAAAAATCTTCCTACTTCTACAGTCTTTCCCCAAATGACAGTGCTTGATTGGATTCTAGAAGAGAATGAACTATTTTCATATACTTAAAATACCAACCATGAACCTTTTAAGGGCCCTGCTTAGTGGGATCGGTTTTGAAGGTGAATTCTTAAAGTATTAATACCAGACCAAAGACATTTTCTTTTTCCTGCAAGTGAAATAGTTTTTAAAAAGAGTAGATCTTGCTATGCTTCCAGTTTGAATACTTTTTTTTCCCTTGTCTTTTGAGTAACCATGGTTGTTACGTAATCTTACACTTCAAGCTAAACACCAGCTGGGTGAGATTTTGAAAAAAGTCTGAGTTTCATCGTCTTAGATAGTTCTCTGACATCACCAGAAAGGAAAGCTGATTTGATGTTTGCTGATTTCACTTGCATAAACTGACTGGCAAGTAAAAAGGATTTTGTATTTCCTTAATTAATTTTATAGTGTTATGTTTTACTTCTATTTGGACTCATACGTCTGGGCCCAATAATTAGTAGGCTTCTACTGCCAAAAAAAAAAAAAAAAAAAAAGGCGGGAACCAGGGGGTTGGGGAAGTGGTTCAATAAATCCATTTCTGTTACAAGCATCTTTTATACATATTACTAAAGAGAACATAGTAAGAAATGCAAATAATAGTTCTTTATTTTATTATGACAGTTAATTAATAGCAACCTGTTTTAATGAATAAAGTCACTCAGAGTCCTTCACCACTTCCTAAGTAGAGGCCAGAATCTGTAGGGCTTCTTTTCCTCCCAATTGTGTAGCTCCTAGACTCCAAGCACTATATAGGCCCCTGTATAGAAATGCTCACTAATGAAGAGGGAGGGCTAGAAGCTTGTCTGCATTCAAAGATCACTGGTGAGTCATTCAGCAAGAAAAGGCCCCTCACCAGGAATAGTCACAGTTCCGTGGCATTGTACTAGCAAAAGGGTCTGATCAAAGGTCTCCTGTGGAGCTTGCATGGTTCCCTTTCATACTACGACCATAATTAAAACCACTAATTCTCTTTTAAAATGCTGCAGGATGCCATGTAGGCATCTGTCTGGAGTGTCCTTTGTGATGTCATAAGCTGTTAAGGACTAGTGCCGAGGGCTTTTGAGTGAAATGCCAGTCATGAAGGTGCTTCAAGACAAGGGTGCCTCTAAAAGCTTGACAGGGCCTTGACTGCACAATTCGAGCTGCATTTGCCCCTTGTCAGCTGCCAGTAAATAAATCTCAAAGGGGGAAAAGCTGAAGTTTCATTACCTGATCCATGGGGCTTTGTTGGTTTTGGCATCACACAGGGGAAGCTCTTGCCCCTCCATTCTCTGGATTTGAAGATGTCCATTGGAGCCTGCAGGGCCTGGACAGGGTTCAGAGCGGAACCTTTTGAAGAGTGTCAATAGTTGTAACAGTTCAGCTGTTAGGAAGACAAATAAATGGAGGAGCTCATTAATCCGCTTTTGGCTCTCAGTGCCTTTTGCCCTTTTATCACAGCCTTATTAGGCTCCTACTCATCTTGAACCAGAAAAAAATGAATTGAAGTTGTTGAGTACTAATTGGCAAAGACTTTTAATCACGGGCCAAGAACTTTCACTGACTTGAAAGTAACTTCTCCACAGGGAAGAACCGAAAACCTGGTTTACCTTAAAACAAAAACCTGTTGGAGTTCAGCATGGTGTAAAAATTTAAAGAAGCGTTGATAAAATGTCTAAGTTTATCCATTTGAAAGAAATTGTATAAGATTATGATTTTTCACTTTTCTAAAAAAAAAGGAAAAATATTCAAAATAAACTTTACCCAGTCTTTATTGGTTTAGAAAAGAGATTGTGTGCGTGTATGAGATGAACATGTTCGTTTCTGAATAAATATTCGTATGTGAATATTCATGTGAGTATCAACATATACATGTGATGTTTGAGGAACCTTATTAAAAGTAATATTTCTTGTTTATACTCCTAAGAATGGTTAATGAAGACCTCTTTTTGAGAATGCCTGCTTTTTAATTTTGTATCTATACTATGGAGCAACATACATGTCTGAATATGCTTTATGTATTGATTATTGTCAAGTAAGGCATAGATTATTCTGTATTTGTGCAACAGCGACTTGGGACCACTCTCTTTGGGAAGGAAATAATATGATGGCCAAAAGTCGAGAGGATCATAATTATTTAAATCTCTAAAACCAATTGGTAAATGGGAAGCTAGTAACCTGTGCCGAAACTTAGGGATGTTTGGCATCATTTTCAGATCAACTACTTCGAAGCATTCCTTCCTTTTTATCGTGTGAGATTAAACAAGTCTCTCTTTTTCTTTCTCTTACTCTCCTCGGCTGGTTCACAAACACCATAAAATCTGACAGAAGGGGTTTCCTTTAGTCTAACCCCCTGACATCGAAGAGAATGTGAAAGAGGTGGCTTCTCATGCAGGATTTGGCCAGCATTCTCCTAACAGTGTCCCAGGAGTGGGATGGGTTGGCAGGGCAACAGGAACCCCACAAGGCTAACTTCTGCCTGGACTTTGGCCTGAGGAGCAAGTGGGAGCCAGCAAAACTGTCTGCCTTCCCACATGCTCGGTGCCCTGCTGCCCTGGCACCGAGGGCGAGGGGAGAAGGGATTTGTGGCTTCCATGTTGTCTAGCCACTGAGTGCGCTGACTCCCAATTCCTGTCCCCTCTGATGGGAAGTATGCTTGGTTCTTAGAATTGGCTTTCCTTTTTGCTTTGTAGTTTAAATGACCCATTAAAAGAAAAAAGTTTATGTTCTGTTACCTAAAATGGAGCCAAAATAGAAGACAATCAGTTACTAGTGAACAATTTTGAAATCTTCCAATAGAATTGTGAAATGTTACTTATGTTCATAATGCTGATGATGGAACTATGCTGTTTAGCCTTTATGATATTTAAATAAGGCCCATTATGAGTGTTTTATTTTAGGATACTGTCTTTAAGTCATCAGGCTAGGGTGTGAAGAGTAGTTAAGTTTATATTTTGAAAGTTAAACAATGTGAATCTCTAATCATTCCCACCAAAATCACTCAGAGTTTAAAAACGTTAATTTTAATATTCAGAAAAAAAAATTCTAACACCACAGGTTGAAAAAAGTGGATCCTGTTGCAGCAAATCCTTTCACTCTGTTTTACTTTGGATATATTTTTACAAATGCACCAAAATAGGGTAATACTCCAAATAATATTATTCTAACTGGCTCCAAGTCCTATGGTTACATAAAGAAAAATATTCCAACCCAATAAGAGATTCACATTGCTTTGTTCATCCTCAATTTTTTTTTTTCGTGGATGCACAACCATTCTAAGGCTTATACTCATAAACAAATAAATAATGTTTCCAGGGATTCTGGGAATATCGAAAGGCCAAGATCTTGGCACAGCATTACAGCGCAAACAAGAAGCTAAAGCTTTTGCAGTGATCATATTCAATGAAGACGTCATTGTCAGTACCCTCTAAAGGTCTGTTTGATTTGGATCAACATGGATGGTGTAAAAAAAGCCCAGGAATAGTAGCATGTGCTTACTTGGATATAGGAAAGTAAACTAACAGGAATATATCTTGTGTAAGAGTTCTTTCTGGGAAAAAAAAATCCTGATTGCTTTTCAGTAAAGTAATATATATTTTGTGGAAATTGTATGTACTAGAAATATTAGATTATGTCATGTTACCAAAAAAAGGGGGAGGGGAGGATGGATGGGTAGAGATTCCAAAACTGTAAATGTGAATCCAACAATTGCTGACCTGTAAACGGAGTTATTTGGATCTTTTCTGTAGAGCCAGGGTGTTATTGATGAGGGTTAATTTTCAGCAATACAGGTATTTTTATGTTTTTAGAAAAGTTGAACTGATAAGGCTGAGAAAGATTCAAGATACAAGTCAAGACCACAAAGGCAAATAACTGAACCACATTCCTATCCCAATGGTCCAACTTCACACAGCACCCAAGGAGTCTCAAGTCTCTTTGTACATGGTTGCCATTAGAGGAGGAAAATATTGTTAAGGTCTAATAAAGGGTATATAGGAATAAGCCAAATCTAGGATTTAACACTTTCATAATTTTAATTGTTTAGAATTTGTATAAATCTGCTGTAGGTAGTATTGGGGGAAAGTACTATGGATGGAAGTGGAGTACAATCTTCATAAACTAATAAACAGAGATTATGTTCTGTTAAAAAAAAATCTATTTATAAGTCTTAACCTGGAAAGAGGTTATTTTGTAATGTAATCTTTTAAAAGACATTTTGAGATTTCTTTCATCTAAATTAAATATTCACTAGAGGATTGAACCATTGGAAATACTCTTCATACTTGTGGTTATTACTTACATGCAAAACCAAAAAGGGGACACTACTTGGGAAATGATACCCAGTTTTCTCATCCCTAGATTACAGTATTATGAAACCTCACAGCCTATACCCAGGTTCTAAACCAGGGCAAAGAAGTTTTGATCCTAAATAAATCACCCACCCATCACCCCAGACCCTTGAGTATCATCTAAGACTCAGGAAATCCCTATGATACCTTGGCGTGCCAAGACTCGAACAGAAAAAATGCAACAGAGGGCCCATTGAGAATTCTGAGGGAGAAAAGATGCAAGGACTAGAGTCTTCTTATATTGTCTTCCCTGTAAGATTAAGTTTTGAAAGTGGAAAGAAAACTTTGTTTTATTACTAACAGTGCTATTAAAAGTTAATGTAAAACATCAAGGACTCTTAAAATACTCTAGCAAAAGTTACAGAAGCTTTAAAAGGAGTTTTTTATAAAAGGAACATGATCCTTTTATTTAAAAAAAAAAAAAAACAAGTAGGATTCCTTTGAAGAGTTAAGAGACAGTGTAGTAGGTGAGAGGAAGTTTAAAAAAAAACAAAAAAACCAGTTTTGCTTATGTTGTTGTTAGGTGCTGTCAAGTACCAACTCATAGTGACCCTGTGTACAACACTACCCAGTCCTGCACCATCCTCACAATCATTCCTATGTTTGAACCCATTGTAGCATCCACCGTACCAGTCCATCTCCTTGAGGGTCTTCGTCTTTTTCGCTGACTCTCCTTTGCCAAGCATGATGTCCTTCTCCAGGGACTGGTCCCTCCTGATAACATGTCCAAAGAATGTGAGATGAAGTCTTGCCATCCTTGCTTCCAAGTAGCACTCTGGCTGTACTTCTTCCGAGACAGACTTGTTCTTCTGGCAGTCCATGGTACACTCAACATTCTTTGCCAACACCATAATTCAAATGAACCAGTTCTTCAATCTTCCTTTCAGTTTTTGCTTATAGAAGAATGAAAAATCAAAGTTAAATTATGCCGAGCTGAAAACAGTTAAGTTCATTGACAGACAGTACTTGCATTTAGTGACTATTTTTATTACGTGTGTTATTTTTCACTAAAATTGCAGACTGTTCATTCACTGTGTGGACTAGTATCTACACAGTTGTGCTTGCTTTCAGTGATCAGAAAGTCATCTGTATCCACCTGGAGCCATTCCTCACAGTGCAGGATGGTAACTAGTTAAAGTGAGTCACCAAATTAATTTAGTGGGAGTTAACCTGCATCTTTTTAAAGAAATAGAAGAAAAAATATCAGAGTGCATCTGATGTAACAAGGGCTAAGTACCGTTTTATGAAACTTTTTGTTTCAGTTTCGTTTTGCTTATATATATTTATTATATGTGTGTATATGTATATAGAAGGAGCCCTGGTGGTACAGTGGTTAGGCATCTAGCTGCTAACTGAAAGGTCAGCAGTTCAAACCCACCACCTGCTCCATGGGAGAAAGATATGACAGTCTGCTTCCGTAAAAATTTGGAGCCCTGGTGGTGTGGTGGTTAAGAGCTACATCTGCTAACCAAAAGATCAGCAGTTCAAATCCACCAGCCACTCCTTGGAAACCCTGTAGGGCAGCTCTACTCCACCCTATAGGGTCACTATGAGTTGCAGTCAACTCAACGGCAATGGGTTTGGTTTTTATATGTATATAATCTATACATCACACAGATATATGTGCGTATATAAAAACATTTACATATAAACCTATAAACGTGTGTACTGGATCACAACATAAAATATACTTATTTTGGGCCACCGTGAAAAATAGGCTTGAAAGACATTGGCCTGGGAGAACTTAACCAGCTTTACTGAATGTTAATGCCACAAAGGTTAGTAAGGAATCATCTAGTACAGCTAGCATGACTAATCTGGTTTTATAAATGAAGAAACAGATCTATACCACATAAGTGACTTGATTAATGTCACATAGCTAGGTAGTGGCAGAATGGGACTAGAGAACATGAGTTTCTTGGCTCAGTTTGTTATACTTCCCCTTCTTCCATTGCAGTTAAATGAAACCACCTACATTCCACCATCAACTCTGTCACATTAAAATCCACAATAATGAAGCCATATTAAAATTATGATAAACTTTCCTAGAGGCAAATGGTATGTGAAATCAAGAACTATGCTGCCTGAAATGCTTGCAAAAGTCATATACTGCATTCTTTCTCCTGCTCCTCCAACTCTCTGGAATGTAATTTTTTTTTCCTTCCTCTTTTAGACAGGGCTGGTTATATCCTTGGCTTGTGACAGAGAATTTCCCTACCCATTTTGGACTTAGGAATATATACCCAAATTAAAGGGTTTTAGTGTGATAAGAAAAAAGTCACTTTGAAATCCAGGAACTTATTAGCATAAATTACATTCCAGCTGAATCAGCTGCTGAAAGCTCCATTTGAAAAATATTGCACTAGTTTATGTATTTCTTCCCCTCCTAGACAGGGTTCAAAACACAATCATATTTCTATGTTTTGCAAAAGGAAATATGTCTCAATTCCACTGGAATGTTCCTTGAGTTGGGAATTAGACTTGGCCTCCCAGAAACCTAGAGCTGGTATTCATGATTGTTCCGTTTGGTTCAACCACTCTATTAAAATTTTTACAGAGGCCTTTGAAGACCTAAGTGGCTGATTTCCTAATTATGAACTTTACCAAATCAGTGTTTAGGTGATAATGACTTCCTCCAAATTTGGCTCTTGGGTCATATGTATGATTTG